TGGTGGTTTTTTTTTTTTAAGTATTAATTATCTTTTTATTATTATTATTTTTATTTATACAGCAGGTTCTTATTAGTCATCAATTTTCTACACATCAGTGTATACACGTCAACCCCAATCGCCCAATTCAGCACACCACCATCCCCACCCCCCGGGGTTTTCCTCCCTTGGTGTCCATATGTTTGTTCTCTACATCTGTGTCTCAACTTCTGCCCTTCAAACTGGTTCATCTGTACCATTTTTCTAGGCTCCACATACATGCGTTAATATACGATACTTGTTTTTCTCTTTCTGACTTACTTTACTTTGTATGACGGTCTCTAGATCCATCCATGTCTCAACAGATGGCTCCATTTCGTTCCTTTCTATGGCTGAGTAATATTCCATTGTATATATGTACCACAACTTCTTTATCCATTCGTCTATTGATGGGCGTTTAGGTTGCTTCCATGACCTGGCCTATTGTAAATAGTGCTGCAGTGAACATTGGGGTGCATGTGTCTTTTTGAATTATGGTTTTCTCTGGGTATATGCCCAGTAGTCCTCCTTGTGGTTTTGGTTTGCATTTCTCTAATGATTAGTGATGTTGAGCATCCTTTCATGTGTTTATTGGCAATCTGTGTATCTTTGGAGAATTGTCTATTTAGGTCTTCTGCCCATTTTTGGATTGGGTTGTTTGTTTTTTTGATATTGAGCTGCATGAGCTACTTGTATATTTTGGAGATAACCCTTTGTCAGTTGCTTCATTTGCAAATATTTTCTCCCATTCTGAGGGTTGTCTTTTTTGTCTTGTTTATGGTTTCCTTTGCTGTGCAAAAGCTTTTAAGTTTCATTAGGTCTCATTTGTTTATTTTTGTTTTTATTTCCATTACTCTAGGGGGTGGGTCAAAAAGGATCTTGCTGTGATTTATGTCATAGAGTGTTCTGCCTATGTTTTCCTCTAAGAGTTTTATAGTGTCTGGCCTTACATTTAGGTCTTTAATCCATTTTGAGTTTATTTTTGTGTATGGTGTTAGGAAGTGTTCTAATTTCATTCTTTTATATGTAGCTGTCCAGTTTTCCCAGCACCACTTATTGAATAGGCTGTCTTTTCTCCATTGTATATTCCTGCCTCCTTTATCAAAGATAAGGTGACCATATGTGTGAACCCACTTTAAATACAAAGATACAAATATATTAAAAGTAAACAAAAGGATGGAAAAGGAACCCTAAAAGCTGGTGTGACAGTATCATACAAAGTGGACTTCAGGACAAAGACTTGACAAAGAGCTACATTTTACCATAATAGGGGATCAGTTCATCAAGAAGATGTAATTGTAAACATTTATATACTTAGTAACAGATCTTCCAAATATACGAAGCAAAAACTGACAACTGAAAGGAGAGATAAATCCACAATTATGGTTGGAGTTTTCAACACTCCCCTCTGAAATAATTACTAGAACAACTTGCAGAAGATTTCTTAGGATATAGAGGACTTGAATAACACTACCAGCCAACTTGACCTAATTGACCTGTATGCCCTACCAACAGCAGCATACACATTCTTTCCAAGCGCATTTGGAAAAATTACCAAAGTAAACCATATGCTCAGCTACAAAACAATTCTTAGTAAATGTAAAAGCATTGAAACTACGTAGAATATGTTATCTGATAGAATTAAATTAGAAAATCATCTCTGGAAAATCCCTAAATGTTTAGGAATTAAACAAGACTTCTAAACATTCCAATTGGTCAAAAAATCACAAGGGAAATTAGAAAGTAAGTTAAACTGAATGAAAATGAGAACACGACATATCAAAACTTGTGTGATGCAGTTAAAACAGAGTTTAGAGGGAAATATATAACTTTAAATGCATACATACACACACAAAAGAAGTTTAAAAGTAATAACATTAGTTTCTATCATATTAAAGCAAGAAAAAGAGCAAATTAATCTCAAAGTAATTAGAAGGAAAGAAATAGTGAAGGTGAGAATGCTAATCAGTGAATTATAAATAAACAGTAGAGAAAGTCAATGAAACCAAAAGCTGGCTCTTTGAAAAGATCAATAAAGTTGATAAAACTAGCTATTCTGAACAAGGAAATAAGAGAACATAAATTACCAATATTAGAAATGAAATAAGAGTACCATCACAAATCCCATAGATATTAAAAGCATATTAAAGGAATAAATAACTTTGTGCCAATAAATGTGATAGTTGAGGTGAACAGGAAAAATTCAAATATTCTGCATAGACTTAAAAATCTTTAACAAAACATGTACAAATTGAACCTAACAAAACTCTAAAGGATAATACATTAAAACCAAGTAGGGTTTATTCCGGAAATTCTAGGTTTGATATTAGAAAACCAATCAGTGTAATTCACCATATTGTAAAATAAAGGAAAAGAACAAAAGTCGAGGACTTGCTAAAGATTTCAAGACTTAGTATAAAGCTCCAGTAATTAAGACAATGTGATATTGGCTTGAGGGTAGAATGGAGAGACCAAAATAGTTACATAGGAGTATTACTTGATTTTTGACAAAGATGACAATCTGTTTTTTCAACAGATTGTGCTGAAACACGCTGTACAGGGGGAAAAGAATCTTGACCTTACCTCATACCGTACATAAAAATTAATTCCAAGTGTATCACAGATCAAACTGTAAAAGATAAAATTCCAAATTTTCTAGAATACTACTTGGGAGAAAATCTTCATGACCTTGTGATCAGCAAGGATTTTTTCAGGACACAAACAGCAGTTACTGTGCAGAAAAATTTGTTTAATTGGATTTAAAAATTTAAACTTCTGCTCTTTGAAAGATGCCATTAAGAAAATGAAAAGATTGGTTGCAGGGTGAAATATTCTCAAACATATTCTATCAGAATATTAAGAAAACCATATAACTCAAGATAACCCAATTTTTAAGAATTGACAAGAGATTTGAACAGACACTTCAACAGAGAAGATATGTTAATTCCAATAAGCACATGAAAAGATGCTTAACATCATTAGGTATCAGAAAAATACAAATTAAAATCACAGTGAGATACAACTAACACCCACTAGAATTGCTAAAGTTAAAAAGCCCTTTAATACCAAATATTAGATGTGGAAGAGCTTGAATTCATACATTTTGGGGACTGCAAAATGATTCAGCCGCTTTGGAAAACTGTTTGGCAATTACCATATGACCACCAGTTCTATTTCTACTTACTTAAGAGAAATGAAAACATATTTCCACAGAGACCTGTACACAGATTTTCTTAGCAGCTTTATTTGTAACAACAAAATCTGGAAAGAGCCAAATGTGTCAGCAGGTGAGTGGGTAGATAAATTGTAGTATGTTCATACAGTGGAATATTACTCAGCAATATAGATGGATGACCTGTTGAAATACACAAAACACATTAATGACTCAAACATGTTGTGCTGTAAAGGAAACCAGACACAAAATATTACATATAGTATGATTATTTATATCCAGTATTAGGAAACATCTCATTTACAGTGATAGAAAGCTAATCTGGTTGCTGGGGGCCACAAGTAGGGATTGACTAGGAAGGGTACATTTTTGCGATTTTGTAACATATCTCAATAAAGTTTATTAAAAATAAATGAAGGAATACTCCTTTTGTAGAAGGTGGAACAGTATATTCTGATTTTTATACCCTTTTATTTGCAGGTCACTTTGTCAGAGACTTTTAAATCTTTATGCTTTATTGTGTGGTATAGTTTTCCTTAAAGTCTATCACTAAATGAGGTTCAGTTCTTGTCTTAATAGAACTTAAGATATAGTACAGAGTAGGGAACAAAGCTTTGGAGCCAGGCAGATACACACGTACATACAGCTAGGAGTGAGTATGAATATAGACATGTTCTTTCGTCTCCCTGAGCCACATATGCATAAACTATAGGTAAGTAATAATGCCTGTCTCTGAGAGTAGTTGTAATGGTTAAATGAAAACCTATGTAAAGTACCCAGCTGAAGTACCTTGCACATAGTAGCCGTTAAAAGGGTAATAAGGGAATAGTAAGAATAGTGTTAACCCAACATAGTTAAGTTACCTATATTGCATTTTCAAATAGCCCTCTTGAAGTTTAGTTAGAATGCAGGACTTTGCCACCTTTTCCCATTTAGAAATACTTTCAGAAATGTCTTTGGGTTTGAGGCAGTAGAAAAAAAAGAAATCTAGGTAAAACTTTCTCCAGCATGCTCTATATGCTAGTTCTCTGCTGAACATTCGTGTGCATTTCACCTGCTTGCTTTAGATTCATGCCATTTCTCCAGTTATGAATGCCCTCCGAACCTTCCATCTCTTCAAATCTTATCCATGCTACTTGCATAGTGATTTGTCCAAGACCGATCTCTTCTGTGGCATTCCTCAGCTCCCTCTATATTCTGATTACTTGCATATCTTTACTGGTTATTTGGCACTTGTCTGCTGACTTTATTGATAGTTTACCTTTTCAAATGCCTTATGTCTCTTTCCCCTCATGGCAGGGACCAGGTTTAATTAAACATTTTTATACTAGCTAACAACCAAAGTGATTAAGACTTGTATAATTTGAAGTCAGGTCTGGATTTGAATTCTAGCTTGTCGCTTACTAGTTGTGTGACTGAAGGCGAATTACTTAACATCTCCAAGCCTCAGTTTTCTCATCTGTGAAATGGAAATAACAGTGCCTACTTCATGATTTTAAAGATTAAATGAGACAGTGTGGAAAGTACCTGACACATTTTGACGTTAAATTAGTTACTGTTGGGCTTCCCTGGTGGCACAGTGGTTGAGAGTCCGCCTGCCGATGCAGGGGACATGGGTTCGTGCCCCGGTCCAGGAAGATCCCACATGCCGCGGAGCAGCTAGGCCCGTGAGCCATGGCCACTGAGCCTGCATGTCTGGAGCCTGTGCTCCGCAATGGGAGAGGCCACAACAGTGAGAGGCCTGCGTACCGAAAAAAAAAAAATTAGTTACTGTCTTGGTTGATTGATTGATACTAATTTTTGACTTCAGTTTCCAGGAATATGGATCTACAGGAGCAGCCCACGCTGATAGTGAATATGAGAGAAGAATGATGTCTGTATATAATCATGTCTTGGAGGAGGTGGAATCACTCAATCGGAAATATACCCCTGTTTCTTATATGGCAAGTCACTTTTGTTTTATTGAGTTTTATTATGTGGAAGTGAGTTTTTATCTGTCTCTGGCACTTACTGTGTGTGACTTCAACACATTAACCTCTCTGTGACTGTTTCCTCTATGCCTGTTTTTTTGTTTGTTTGTTTGTTTTCTTTTGCGGTACGCGGGCCTCTCACTGTTGTGGCCTCTCCCGTTGTGGAGCACAGGCTCAGCGGCCATGGCCCATGGGCCCAGCCGCTCCGCGGCATGTGAGATCCTCCCAGACTGAGGCACGAACCCGTGTCCCCTGCATCAGCAGGCGGACTCTCAACCACTGCGCCACCAGGGAAGCTCCCCTCTGTGCCTGTTTTGTAACAGGGTTAGTACAGTACCTACATCATAGTATTGTTGTGAGGATGAAATGAGATAATCCGTGAAAGCACTTAGCACATCTGTAGCTGCTACATAGTCACACTAACATGTCAACGCTGCTCTACCAGAATGCAGATAAAACTTTTTTTTCCCTTTTTTAACAATTTAACTAAAGTTGCAATTGTTCTCAACCTTGGCTACACATTAGAATCACTTTGGAAGCTATTTAAAAAAAAAAACCATCAATATCCAGGCCCCACCCAGGCCAGTTATCTTTGAATCTCCGCGAGGCCCAGACCTTAGTATTTTTAAAAGCTCCCAGGTGATTCTGTCATGCCACCAGGGTTGAAAACTATTGGCCAATTAAAATAGAAAGAACTGGGCTTATTTTCTGACTATCAGTAAATCAGTTCCTGCCAGGTGATGCTACTGCTGTCCTTTAATACTCATGTCCACTTAGCCTACTGAATCTGCTACCTTTGGCACTGTTGAACGTCTGCTGTTTATCCCCTGACTTCCCAGTCACAGGACAGACTGACACTCTCACCCAGATTTCCTCCTCCCTGTCTGGCCATTCTCCAGTGTTGTATTGAGTTCAGGTTCCTATAACAAAATAGACATAGTGGCTTAAACAACAGACATTTCTTATAATTCTAGAGGCTGGGAAGTCCAGACTCAGGGTGCCAACCAGTTTGTTTTGTGGTGTGGGGTCTCTCGCTGGCTTGCCAGCTGCTGCTTTCTCGCTGTGTCCTCACGTGTTGGAGAGAGAGGGCCTCTCTTCTCTCCTTTTTCTTCTTATAAGGGCACTGATCCCATCACAGGGATCCCACCCTCATGTCCTCATCTAAACTTAATGACCTCCCAAAGGCCCTCCTCCAAATATCAACACATTGGGAGTTAGGGCTTCAACATGTGAATTTAGAGACGACAGCACATTCAGTGCATAGCACTGTCTTTGAACTTTACACCTTGGAGAGTTTCTCTTGCCCTGCCTACACATTGGATACTGGTATTTCCTGTAGCTCTCTTCTGCCTCCTGCTGTTCTCATTCTGAACTCACCATTTATCAGGTGTTCTAGAAGAAATTGACAGGATGTGTCATTAAAGAGTTAAATTAGATTTTAAGGTTAGATACTTTCATTTGCACACTGCTTTCCATGTAAGATTGTCAATAGATATTTGCTGAATTGAAATGACACAGGTAGCTGTTTGATACTGAGACTGGTTGCTAAGGAAGATTGTAAAGATTATCTTTGTAGGAAGTAGACATATTTATGTGAGACATTGATTAAATTATTTACATGTATTTCCTCTAAGCTCCACCCTAGGAAATTAAATAGATGCCAGATAGTACCTTGAGTTTGATAGAGTTCAATCCACTGTGTCTCATGGAAAGAATGGGAATTTTCTGCCCAGTAGGTACGCAATACAGAGCAAAGAGCCCTAGGGTCAGATTCTACCTCTGCCACTCAGCAGGCGTGATTTTAGACAAATTTCTAATACCCTTTTCTATGATATGGAAAAATATCTACCTCATAGGGTTTTTGTGAAGTTTAAATGGAATAATGCCTAATGCCTGGCACAGTGGCTGGCCTGGCATATAAGGAGTGGTTAATAAATGTTGATTCCCTTTTCCCCCTTTCCAAATTGTATTTTATAGATTTGATACTTTCTGAACCCAAAATTCAGTTTAACAAGTATTTATTGAATCCTGTGAATAGAAAAATGACAAAGAGGCTCTTCCCTCAAGTTGTCCATAGTCTGATAAGAAAGATTTTGTAAACAAATACAATACAATATATGTGCAATAATAGAGGTCTGCACAAAGTAGAGTTGTAGCACAAAAGAGAAGGTAATTCATGTCAAAGGATAGGGGAAATGGGGTGAGGGTGCACATCAGAGAGAAGAGGTATTTGCATATGAGTTTTTCAGGCAGATAAGGAGGTGTAGAGAATTTCAGGCAGGGAACAACATGTTCAAAAGCAGAGGCATGAGGACTTCCCTGGTGGCACAGTGGTTAAGAATCCACCTGCCAAAGCAGGGGACATGGGTTCGAGCCCTGGTCCAGGAAGATCCCACATGCTGCAGAGCAACCAAACCCGTGCACCACAGCTACTGGGCCTGCGCTCTAGAGCCCGCAGCTACAACTCCTGAGCCTATGTTCCACAACTGCTGAAGCCCGCAAACCTAGAGCCCATGCTCCGCAACAAGAGAAGCCACTTCAATGAGAAGCCCGCGTACCGCAGCAAAGAGTAATCCCCACTCGCCGCAATTAGAGAAAGCCCGTGTGCAGCAGCGAAGATCCAAAGCAGCCATGAAGATCCAACACAGCCATAAATAAATAAATAAATTTATTTTAAAAAAAGCGGAGGCATGAAATAGCATGATGTCTTCCGGGAACAGTGTGTTATTGCTGCAGCATAATGTGCAGGCTCGGGACTAGAGAGGTCAGTGAAGGCCAGATGACAAAAGGCTTTTAACACAGTCTTAAGGAGTTTGGACTTTATCCCGTAGACAATGGGGGCACTCTTTAGGAATTTTAAATGGGTGTGGGAGAGAAGTGGTTAAGCTAAGACTGTACACTATTGTTATGTAGAAACAGAACAGGTAATGGCCTGGAAGCCATGAAATTAAAGGAAAGAAGAGTGGTTACAAGACTTCTGCAGTAATCCAAGGTAGGGGCCAAATTGATAAAGTAGGAGCAAGAATGAGAAGAACAGATACATAAGAAAGATTATTTAGGTGTGATATTTTCAAGGCTTGGTTTTGGTTTTTTGTTTGTTTTTTGTTTTCTTTAAATTAGATGTGAGAGGATGGAGACATGACCTCTGGGTTTCCAGCTTAGGTGACCAGGTGCACAAATGGTTGATCCTTGACTGAGACAGAATACAGAGGGGTAGTGGAAGAAGGTGGTTTCATTTTTAAACATGTTAAACATTGGCAGTTAGGTAATAGGTTTGGTGTCAGAAGGAGACAGGCTGGAATGCATGTAAAGTTGAGGTGTTGTGAGCATATAGATTCTTAAAGTCCTGGGAGTGAAGAAAACTGCCTGTGAAGAACAAACGGACTGAGAAGACAAAAGGACTAAGGAGAGCATCAACACTGAAGGAACATACAAAGGAAGAGAATCTTAGGAAAGAAGATGGAGCAGGGAAGAATCAGAAGTGAGGGCAGGGGCCGTTAAGTAGAATTTCATGGAAGAAGAGCATTATCAGGTGCCACAGAAGTGTCAAAAAATACAAAGGCTGAAAAGTATTCAGTTTGGCAATGAAGGGAGTATTCATGATGGGATAGTCCTCTTACCGGTTTACTAATCATGATATGTGATTTCACATCTCCAGACTGGTACTTTGATAGTAATCTGCAACTAACATACGTGTTGAAGTGTGCCCAAGGGGCTAGTGGTCTCAGAGGCAGTCCTGCTTTCCCAGTGGGGAATTGCAAAATCCGCATCTATTCTTTTAAAAGGGAAAATGGTACCTTTTTGCCCTGGAACAGCCTGAGGTCACTTGTGGTCCTCTAAATCCATTCTTTAAAGATGTTTCTCTCCTTAAATACTGTTGTGGCATCAAAGGTTCCACCACAAGTAGGATGTCCGGGCAAATGCATCTCAGATCCCTTGTGGCGAGAAGATGAATAGTGCCGTTTTAGCAGTTAAACCTGAGTAGACCCAGTGTCTCTAAATCCGTGTTGTGGTAATCTCAAGTAATAGACCTGGCATTTATATTAGGAGTCTGTCAGGCACAGAATGTTCAGTAATCTGAAACCAATGAGGAATGGATTCTTCTGGCTTTTAGCCTTAATGCCCTACTTTTTAAAAATGTTTATAGCAGAGGCACTAGGTGATACCCTGCTTGGAAGCAGGAACTTAAAAGGACAGACAGCACTGTATAGTGGAACAGTTTTCAGCCTGTGGCATTTTGGGGGCCACTGAGAGAGGAGTAGACTGAGGAGGGGATGGTAGACCAAGCAGGAATGGTTCTGGGTCACCCAAAGTTACAGGTGTTCCGGTACTGTAATTTTTTTTTTCTATTAAGTTTGCAAATCATTGGTGAAATAAAACAAAATCACTGAGTGACCTAGTCAGGTGACCTAGGTTCCAGTCCCAGCTTGTTCCATTAGTTGTCTGGGTGACCTGTGTCATCAGCAAAATTGAGGGTTAGACTGGGTGATCTTTAAAATAGCTTTGATGGTATCACAGGTGTATACTTATCTCCAAACTGATTAAGTAGTATGCATTAAATATGTCCAGCTCTTTGCATGTCAGTGGTACCTCAAGAAAGTAGTTGAAGATAAACAAATAAATAAATAAAATCTTTGAATTCTTAAATTCTGGTTCTATGACCCCTTTCACTAAGACTCGAAAGATTCGTTAGAGTAGTTCTATTCCTCTGCAGTTAAGCTGGGATTTTCAAAACTCAGTTAAATTTGTGAAATAGATTTTAGAAAGAAGGTGTTTTATTTAAGTTTCAGCGATCTATGGAGTTGGACTATATGGTAATCTGTAATCTGAATTCCAGTAAGTTTCCACCGTTGCTCTATCTCTGGAGGCTCATGGCCCCATGAACAGGGAGGCCACCTGGTAGAGATGGGATGAAGAATGAGGCAGTTCCAAGCCAGGGTTCCACAGGGATTTGGACTCGAGCCTCAAATGTCAATATTTTGCTCTGATTTTTTACCATATACCTGCTCTTTATCATATTTTGTCACGTGATAGTTACTTTATACTTTAGTATCTAAAATAACTGTATATATCTAGTAGCTCTAAGCTCTATAGAAACGCAAACTTTGCACACTGCTTGGTCTTGAGGAGTGTGGGTTTTCTTGTGGGTTTTCTCTGTCATTTTTTATTGAATATATTTCAGAATAAAGTAAAAATCTGTAATTGTCCTCCTTGACATGAGTGATTTGATAAATGTATGCAGTTCCTGAGTGTTATGTCTCTTAACCTGATTGGTGTGTACTTTTGTAGTAATTTTATGAGCATTTGTAGTTTTTACACTTCTTCCTGAAAGTAACTATTTGTTGATGAAATTTGGAAATTTATTTTCATTTGATTTTTCTTTTTTTTCCCCAGCATACAGCATGCCTCTGCAATGCCATCATTTCTTTGCTGAAAGTTCCTCTTTCATTTCAGAGATATTTTTTCCAGAAACTGCAGTCTACCAGCATCAAGGTAATATAGAAAGAACAATCAGGTTTAATATAGTTTAATACCTTCTTCTGAAGATTGTAGGGGGCATAGCTCTGCTTCAGGATCTTACCTTTGGTTTAGACAGAACTTATACTCTTCAGTTGTAAGCCTTTCCTCCCTTCAACAAGTGATTTGGGAGTTAAACCCTCTCCTCTCCTTTCTTTCCTCATAGTGCCAAATGCAGTGGGACAGGCATTTGGGTACCTCGAGCTCTGTCCCTGTCTTCAAGAATGAGTTGGGTGCTGTTCATCATAGTAGCCCACAGGGATCTTGAGCTGAGTCCATGTCTGATCAAACTATTTAAATCCAACTTAGAATGAATCAGGTCCAGTAAAACATCACCAGCCCTATCTCCAAAGCACTTTTGTCTACAAATAACAAATTTTGAGAAGCTGGGCAATGAGTAGAGTCAGTATTTTAAAATATTTAAGCCACTCAAAATTCAAAAGCTATTTTGATTCAAAGAATGAAATTGTTGGGAAAGGGGGGAAATTGTCATTTGTAAGAGATTCCCTGGATTATCCCTATCAGTAAATGTCTTCAGTGCACTTTTGCATCCATTTGAATGTTTTTGATTACAAATAATAGAGCATTCCATTTGAAAATGACCTGAATAACAAGGAAAATTGATTATATAGATAAGAAGTCCTAAGGTAAGATGTCTCCAGGGTTCAGTGGCTCAACAACGTTATCAGAAAGACCCAGTTTCTTCTGTATTTTTACTTAAGCAAGATTTGAGCTTTCTTTAATTAAAGGGTATTTAGGATTCTTAATATGTTTTTAAAGAAAAACTGACAGGTTAAAAATGTCATTTGGTTTATTTGTGGAAATTGACTTTTATACCATGTTGACTTGATAGCGTATGTAATCCTAGAATTCTAGATTCATTTACATTTGAATTTAGTTTATTTAAAATTACCTAAGACCATAGAGACAGCAGCTGGACGTGAAAATTTATATAGTGCATTTCCATACTAGAGTTGGTTCATTGTCAAAGAAATGCCCCACCTCAGAAATTGGGAGAACAGTGCCCTTGCTATTCTCTAATCCTCTGTTTCCCTCAAACAGAACTGGGGCTGGGGGTTTAAAAAAACAAAACAAAACAGTGGTATTTAAAAGGAGGCATTAGGGATAAGGAACCCTTGACTTTAAAGGTACATCTGTCTGGTTGTCCCAGCACGGTCAGGTCATTGCGGGTGTGTGTGTGTGTGTCTCGGTGTGTACGTATCTGTGTGTATGTATGTGTGCCTGTGTGTGTACAAGTAATGTTTTAATCTATAATCAACAATTAGCACAGACATGTTTGTTGTAAGGAAGCTTGCTTTTGGTTGTTAGCATTTATTTTAATGTTGGCTTTCCAGCTTGCCCTGTCACCATCCCCCCGGAACCCTGCTGAACCCATTGCTGTCCAGAATAACCAGCAACTGGCGCTGAAGGTAGAGGGAGTGGTCCAGCACGGATCTAAACCAGGACTCTTCCGCAAAATTCAGTCTGTCTGTCTGAATGTTTCTTCCACACTGCAGAGTAAATCTGGACAAGACTACAAGGTAATTTAGAAAAGAGGCAGAGTTGTGATGCAGGTTTTATCAACTCATTGATGGAAGTTTTCCAGTCTTTTTTCATGGTTAAGCAGATTGCAGTTATACCTCCCAAGGGATCAGATGGACATAAGTTAAAAGTACGTATTAGGGTGTAAGGGGGCTGATAAACAACACTTCTCTTTTCCCTGCCCGAACCAGTTGATAGACAAAGCATCCAGGCAGGCAGAGATCAAAATATGAGTGTCACTACTGTTAGAGCTGGGGAGAAACCTAGCTCAGGTGCCTGGCAGCAAGGACTGCCTAGCCTTGTGGCTCTGAATTGAGTTTTCCCACCAGCCTCCACCAGTATACACAGAGCCTGCCCCTATAAAACTGGGAGGAGCAGTACCCTGAAGCCCAAAGAAGAAGGGAGAGAGAAGGTGCGTAGCTCCCCAGGCCCAGTCCCCACCCCACAACTTACCAATCAGTAGGATGCACCTTCTCCCCTAGAGACCAGTACTGTTCATCTAATGAAAGGTCCCTCCACATGGAGGGAAGCATCAGGAATGGGGAATAACTTCTCCCTAACCCCCTGACCCCAAAAGAACACATCTATTTATTTTTCCTTTGTTTTAAGTAAATTTTAGCATGTTCCAAAAAAAGTATACTATATTGGGCTTTCCTGGTGGCACAGTGGTTGAGAGTCCGCCTGCCGATGCAGGGGACACGGGTTCGTGCCCCGGTCCGGGAGGATCCCACATGCCCCGGAGCGGCTGGGCCCGTGAGCCATGGCCGCTGAGCCTGCGCGTCCAGAGCCTGTGCTCCGCAACGGGAGAGGCCACAAGAGTGAGAGGCCTGCGTACCGCAAAAAAAAAAAGAAAGTATACTATATTGACATACAGTGATCAGATGAAGTAAAATCTTTCGTTAAGTGTTTAACCCTAGAAATTTGCTACTTTGAGAAATCATGAGGTAGGTTAACCAAAATCACACCTGCTTTGTTAGCCAAAGCTAAGATTCTGAATCTGTGCCTGTGAAACACCAATGTTCCAAATGTAGAATGTTCCTTTCTTTAGACATCTCTTTCTAGTCCCTTGGTGGTTTATTCACAGTAAATGGAACAAGTGAACAAGTGCACAGTTGTATGAACAGAGTTGTTTAAATGTCCAAATTGGTTATGTCTGGGTTTATTTGTGGGCACCCTTGAACTGAGGTCCAGAGCAAGGAAAGGGATATCAGTAAAGATATAAAATGAGAGCATTTTATTCTCTTTGGTGGTTTTAGGCTAAAAGGCCAAGGGAAGGTCTGGTTTAAGCCGTTACTACTTTCCTTACTTTGGTAACTTTCTCTCTCTCTCCGGGGCTCTGTACCCACTCTGAGAAGGCTCAGCCTTCATTCTCTCCCTCTCTTTTGACTTCGAGGGCACAAAGCATGGCACCTTATGTAGCCACTCAGTAGATATTTGGTGAATAATGAAAAAAATCATTTACTGTATTTAGTACAACTCTCTTATGTTTCAATGATCTCTCTTGTCACAGAAGATCATAAGGAGAACTTACATAGTCAGCTTATCCCTTTCTGCAGCTCTCTGCTCATTTTGAGTTTGAAAGAACGGTAACCATGATTCTCTTTGTTCTTGTATATAGTGATTTTTACTGTTTTTAAAAAAACCATTCAAGTCGAGAAGTACTACTGGTCTTCTCATTGTTGACTTACCTCTCAAGAGGCACTGGTTAAAGTCAAGAAGCTGACGTAATAAGCCAGGTAGTACATGATTGCTTTGTAATGTTACTTGCAGTGAGTTTGCAACTTAAAATGCATCATGCGTTCAGAGTGATCAGGTTGCCTACTAGGCCTATTTCTGGTCCTTTTAAGGAAGTTCTTGTTTGGTGTGCATATTCTTTACGGAAATAAAAATCCTACAGAAGTTGAATGTGCAAACAAAAAACAAAAAAGGACTTATAAATAATTTTAAGATCTTGAATTTGTGGTGACTTCATTTCATTAATGTTACAGATCGGTGTCTCTGGAAAACTGACCTCATGATAACTGCTTATTGAGACACGAAGCTTCAGGGCACATTTATATAATTAGTTACACAACAGAAATACACACATAAACATAGAGCAATCTAATCAAATATTCATTCTGATAACCTGTATATGCATTCTTAGAATGTCTCTCTTGACATACTTCATCTTGGGTACAAGAAGAGATACACCTGCAGGTGTTACTCTGTTCTTTGAAGGACAAAGGTATGAGTATCTAGCTAAATACATAAACGAATGCATAAATCTGTGTTTCATAATATGTTGTACTGCCCATCTGAACAAAACACTGATTTTTAAGTAAGCAACATGCAAGTTCTAAAGTTAATTTGTTAAAGGAGGGAAGAATCACTACATTACTTAAGTAATATAAAATCAGACTACCTAGGAGGGGAAAAACCATATATTTGCATAGCGTTATGTTCTTTTTTAGTCTTTCAGATTTTAAACTCACTGAAACAGGTGGTTGCATCCAGTTTCTTTAGAATATCTCTTCACAGGTTAAAGAAAGATGGGAATTGGAGTTGGGGTTGGGTGAACAAGGAGAGGGGAGGAGAAATTTCTCTTTTACCCTCTTAGGGTCTCCAGCTAGGCCTAAGATTGAACTGACCTTAAGGCAGATTAACAGGAGAAAAGCATGCCAGTTTTATTAGAATTTTACATCTATATGGGAGTCTTCACAGGAGGATGAAGACCCGAAGAAGTGACCAGAACAGAAAGCTTAGATACCTTTTAGTCACACAGATGATAAATTCCTGACAAAATGGCAAGACAGAGGGTTTGGGGCTAGGGACAGTAAGTAAAATGACTAGGAGATCTGTTGGGGCATTGGGGGAGACTAGTGGAAGATACGGGTTATTTTCTTAGGTTGGTTTGTACAGATCCATCTCAACATCGATTCCCAGTCTCTGGTGATAGTCTTCTCTTTTTTGGTATGGGGGGTTTACCTTTCTCATGGAAAATTTGATTTATGTTTTAGGTAAAAAGGGGCAGGTCAGAGAGCCCTTTCTGTATCTGTTGTTTTTCAAGTGCCTTTAGCTCAAAATAATCGCTGTGCCACAGCAGCGTATTTGGGGTGGCGTGTTCTGAACTGCTTCCCAAGGCAGAAAGGCCTCATCAGAGGGGCTGAGAAAGCTCCTTCTACTCAAGCTCCTTCCAGTGAGGAGGCAGTGTTACCTGATATTAAGAGTGCGGGCTCTGGAGTTAGCCAGACTCTTGACTCCAGTCTAGAGTTTTGTTATCAGATGCCAACATCATCACTCATTAGCTGTATGACCTTGGAGAAGTTACTTAACCTCCCCACCTCAGCTTCCTCGTTCGTGAAACAAGGATAATATTAGTACCTACCTTTTGGTTGTTTGCAAAGATTTAAATACCACCTAAAACAGGTCCTGGCTCGCAGCATGCACTCAGGAAACGTTAGCTATTGTTATTTCACGATTTTTTTCGTTCCAGATACCCATTGACAATATGACCAATGAGATGGAGCAGAGGGTTGAGCCTCATAATGATTACTTCAGTACTCAATTCCTGTTGAACTTCGCTATCCTTGGCACACACAACATTACAGTGGAATCTTCCGTGAAAGACGCCAACGGCATCGTATGGAAGACTGGTCCCAGAACCACCATATTTGTAAAATCCCTGGAAGACCCTTATTCGCAGCAGATTCGCCTGCAGCAGCAGCAAGTCCAGCAGCCGTTACAACAGCAGCAGCAGCGAAATGCCTACACGCGGTTTTAGCCGTGCAACAGAGGCACTACAGACTTTCCAGGAACTGAGCAAATTAGCGAAAATAGTTTGCTTTTTCATATGGATAAAGGTACAAAAGTTAGAATATGGAGTCCGTTTATTCATTGGTTTCTGTGATAGAACATTCTGAAAAAAAATTTTTCTTAAAAATTTACTTGGAGAAATCATTGGGTTCCTAACTAGAAAGATTTTTTTCCCCTTATTTCTTCTTAAACCAAGTCCTTCATCTCCTATTCAGCACTTTCATTGTTTTGCTATTATTACTTTTATTTTTGCTGAGCCTTCTCTTTTTCTTTCAGGAAAAGTCACATATTGGGATCATTGAATTAGTAAATTTGCCTGCTTTCCTACCAAAATATATCACTTGCTGCCTGACATAGACCTCTAATTCTGAGCTGGGCCTTTGGAAGTTCTGACCAGTATGTGCCGGGTTTACCCAGGGTAGTAGAAACTGAGTACTCCCGTAGTTGGACTTGAAAGTGTCCCCTGAAACATCCAGTGTTGTGGATTATGAGAGCCTGCAGTCTAGCAGAAAGGAAACATCCTGCCGTATTATTTCAACCGTTTACCTATCTATTCTCTGCTAAAGCAATCGTAATTTATTGTTTTAGTATTTAATTGACCCAAAAGCAACTAACAATTACATAGAAAGATTGGAAATTAATAATTTGTTTTTTCTAATATATGTGCAATTTTATGTCATACAGACTTTTTTTATTGTTTCTAAGAATGAAAAAAATCACATTTAATGTTAGGAGGGCAGATCTTTTCCTTTGATTGGTTTAGATTCTTCTTGGCAAGTTAGGTAACGCTAACCCTGATTGTCTAGAAACAGCAGTCTTTATAATACACCCTCAGTTAGTTGGAATGCTCAGGGAATAGAAGTTTTCTCGTTAGCCAGAAAACCCCCTTTTTTTCTATGTCAATACTGGTGGAAAACCATTATAAAATATCATAATAATACACTTTCTTAACACAGTATACTACATGTAATTTGACTGTTCTTTCTTGATTTGGGATTGTTCAGTGCTTCGGGGTCATGATTTCTAGACATCAGGGATCACAGGATTGCAGACACTGCTCCCAAGGTGAAGCGCAGGGCACATTCCTTGGAAGTTTCCTTTTAAAATAAATCTCTCAATTGCTTTGCTCGTTTTGCCGTTTTCTCTTTAAAGTCGACATTGGCTCAAAGGAGGGATAGAGTTTAAAGGGAAAAAAATGAGTTTGGGGGATTTGTGTGTGTGTGTAATGTGGCCTCTAGGGGTGAAAGAGATTGGCAGGCAACTCGTGTCCCTCTAAGATCTCTTGGCTTCATGAGCTATTGTCCCAGCACAGCACTTCTTCTGCCAGTGGCCAGGGCATTGTCATAAAACGTGTGTAAATCTACAGTGTCCACTGTGGTTGATGTCCAGATGTACGCAGTACATGATGTGCACAGGCATGACAACATCTGGGAACATAAGCCTTAGGAAGAATTGCTAGAGAGTAGTGGGGGACGTGTGCAGGACCTCTTGCCCTTCTACCAGGTGTGGAAAGAGCTGACCGGAAAGCCTAGGTTCCACTGTAGGCTCCAAAGAGTTAGCCCTGTGACCTGGGCAAGTGTCATCATCTCTGTAGATGGAAGTTTCTTTGTCTGTAAAATGACTGGATTAGACAGGACCTCTTGACTCCAGTCTAGAGTTTTGTTATCTGAAAGACTAAAGACAAAAAAAAAAAAAGTTCTTTCTTAAATTGAAAAAATCTTTTTTCTTTTCTTTTCTTTTAAAGTGGCTATTTTCAGAATGAAATTTTACAATGTTAATTTTAGGTTTCTGGTGCTGTTTCAAGGCAGAATTGTCTGAAAAGAAGCAAATTTTGTAAACCACCAATTCCCCCAGTTCACTTTGAGACCTTCCCGTATTTTATGTTCTTAAAAGATAGGCTTTTGATAGCTGTAGTTATAAACTGATTGATTTGGTATATTATAGAGCCCCTGGCACAAATTGGAAAGGAATTATTAAAATAAAAACAAATCCAAACAGTTTGGAGTGAAAAGTAACTCTGCGAAGCAAAAAAGGCTATTTTATTTTAGGATGTCCATTAGATCTGGAATTAGGACACTGATTTTATTTTTGATATAATATCTACTGCATTTTTGGCATCGACTGTTAAACAGTTATTTGAGGTGGGGGGAAACTGTGTTTATAATTTCAACAGTACACTCATGAATGAAAAGGAAAAGAATACTCAAGGAAAGATGCAGAAAAGAAAGATAAACATACTGATTACGAAGTGAACATGTTCCCTGATTTTAGAAATATGAGTAATAAGGGCACTGGCTGATTGATTTAAGAAGACAGGACTGATTTTTCCCAGTATTTAGTGACTTTGCAGTATAACCTGGTGGCTAAAAGCCCAACCTTTGGAGCCACTCTGTCCAGTTCCAAACCCTAACTCTACCTAACTTTGTGGCCTTGGATGAGCTACTTAATCTCTCTATGCCTCAGTTTCCTTATTCCCCAGATCAGGAAGCATAATAGTGCTTCATGGGTTAGGTGTGAGGATTAAGCAAGTTAATACAGAATTGATATATATAAAGCAGTTAGAATGTGCCTCGCACATAGTAAGCAGATACACATGAGCGTTTGCTGTTATTATTACCGCTATTACTATCCTCCCTAGTATTATTTTTCACAGTGTTAGATCAATTCTTTTTTTTTAATAAGTTATTTTATTTTATTTTATTTTTTTGGCTGTGTTGGGTCTTTGTTGCTGTGTGCGGGCTTTCTCTAGTTGCAGCGAGCGGGGGCTGCTCTTCGTTGTGGTGTGTGGGCTTCTCATTGCAGTGGCTTCTCTTGTTGCAGAGCATGGGCCCTAGAGCATGCGGGCTTCAGTAGTGGCAGCATGTGGGCTCAGTAGTTGCAGCTCACATGCTCTAGAGCGCAGGCTCAGTAGTTGTGGCGCACGGGCTTAGTTGCTCCGCGGCATTTGGGATCTTCCCAGACCAGGGATCGAACCCATGTCCCCTGCATTGGCAGGCGGATTCTTAACCATTGCATGACCAGGGAAGTCCATAGATCAGTTCTTAACCTTAGCATTTTATTTATTCAAAATAAAAGTTACCTTTTCTCTGCTAGTCAACACACATTTAAGCTATCTTCCCTCATATTCATTTTGGGTACCTTGATTAAGAACAAAATAGCTTAATGTTGACCTAAACAAAATGGAATTTCTGTCTACTGCAGTGCTGAAATCCTATTTAATTAAAATATTTAAAGAAAAACGTACAAAGAAAATTATGAAAATACTTTCCAAAAGTACTGATTACCTTCAGTAGTAACGGCCATAGTATATCGACTATTTAGAAACTAAAGTACTATTGTAGTCCAACTTAAACTAAGAGATCTTGTGATGCGGCTTTCCGGCTCAAACCCACCAAGGTAGCAGGTAATTTGCAACTGAAGGCTGTCAGTCACTTTTCACATTGAAATATGATTCAGAGAAGAACAAAACAGCCAAACAAGATCTTCAGTCTAGGGTCCCAGAGATGTCAGTTTAAGTTCTATTTATACGACTCACTTGCCATGGATCCTTGGATAGGTCACTTGATCTTTTTGTGCCAATACATGCCAGCAGTATACTGAGAATAAGATGACCCTGCCATCTGGTATACAGAGTATATGCAGAGCTGTCTGACAGAACTTTCTGAGATGATGGAAATGTTCTAAGTCTGTACTATCCAATATAGCCACTAGCCACATAGAGCTGTTGAGTATGTAAAGTAAGCCTAGAGTAACTGAATCGTTTATTACTTTTAATTCAGTTAAACTTAAATAGCCTCATGTGGCTACTGCCTGTAGAACTGGACAGTGCAAGAGTAATAAGTGAAGAAATGAGATTCACTACTACCTTAGGACCTAGATAGTCCTTAAGTAGGTTTCTAGATAAGGTGTCTACATTGGAGTTATTTGATGCACCAAAGCTTTCACGTGGAAGAGTGTGGATGACAAGGAAGGCATCGGGGGTTCGTGTGTTTGCTTTGCTTCAGATAATACAGTACTGTGTTGCTCAACCACCTAGCCCTGTTCTCTCTATAATGTGCCCTTGGATTTAGGTTTTATCAGTCACCAACAGTGAAAGTATGATGGGAGTACTGAGAAGTCCCAAAGTCTGGTGAATTGGCTTAGATTTCCTGCCAACAGCACTCCAGGAGGCTGTGGTCTTCCTTTCCATTTCTTGCCCAGGAACACAAAGACCTTTCCATGGGCTGTGTATTTTATTGGCTTAACTGGCATTAGTCCACTATCCTGTGGTGCCTCCCAGTCTACTCACTCTATGAGCAATTTGATGTTTAATTGTAACAGATTTAAACAGTGTAAGTCATGTTTTTTTCCTTAAATAACATACCAAGATCTGGAGTCATTGATTTTCACAGTATAATGAAGAATGCGAAATGTAAATTTACTTATTTCAAATCTACTACAGTTACAAAAAATCTTTTCAGTCTATATCTTTTCCCTTATCCTCCTGCTTACTTGCTAATCTCTCCCAGAGCAGTTCTCTCCTGCACAGTCCAGTTTGTTGTGCAATAATTGCGTTCTTTGCTTATTATTTAGGTCTAGTTAAAGATTGAGACTTGGTGAAATGAGTTTGGGGATTGTCTTCTTCATAGATCATGATTACGGGTCTAGCTTTTGTCTAGTGATACTTAGCTGGCAAACTGAGACTAAAAATCTTTTTATTGTTGTTTCCAGATAATTTTTTCTTAATAAAATTATAAATGTGAGATAATACCAAATGAATCAGAACAATCAGGAAAATGAACATCTACCCAGTACCCTCAAAATTCAGATCGTAAGCAGAGAAGAAATACTCTCTACCTTTTGGTTTTCTCGGGAGATTTCGTTTGTGGATTTTGATGAAGCTTATTTGTGGCTTATTTGTATTTTAAAGAAAGAAATTTAAAATAGAAGACTGTGACAAGTAAAATAGAACTGAGTTAGACTGAGGAATTATGAGAAGATACTGTTTCCTAAGATCATGGAAAGTGAAAGGAGGCCGGGCTGCCTCAATTTCTACCACTCCCACCCCCAGCTCCCCCATTGGAAGCAGTGAGGCTAAAGATGCTTTCTGTTTATGTGTCATCTCACACTTAGGAGATGAGCAAAGTGATGG